TCTTCTGTTTATATCATGCCACTCTTGGGTCTTTTCTTGTATGAAATGCTCTATTACATATGAAAACTCTTCATCTTGATATAGTGACTTCTTCTGTTATAGATTTGGTTCTATTTATTAATCTCAAACTAACATGTCATTTATAGAACTTTTCCATTATACTATAAAACTGACTGTTTTCCTTGATGGTTCTGACAGAAGAGAAAATTGAGTTTTAACACATATTTGAAAAGTTGACTTTATATCTCTGCTGTGGTGTCTCATCACTCAGACAGCTTCTGATATATTTTGTGAAGTATAATAGGACCTGAGAATTTAGAGGAGGAGTTTAATTCACGGTGCACCCTGTTGAAGCCTTCTCTCAAAAATATTTTTTTGATTTCTCTATTGATGAGGAATATCTTTGTGATTTCTTTCTGCAGATTCTATGCAGCACTGTCTTTTATCTTTCTACTCTTTTGCCTTAAACTGCTTGTGAAACATTAATGCTACAGTTGCGCTATTTTTTCTGTTCAGGAGGTTCCAATTGTGCTGCACATCTGGTTGACCTCTCTAGCTGAAGAAGCTCAGAATTCAAACAGATTGGTTCATCTGAAATTTTTGCTGCGCTTAATAAATAAGGCCTTGAGCATGGCTGGAAGAGAAAGTTCACCCTGAGTGACTTTATTGCAGTCCCATCTAGCAGCTTAGCACCTTCTCCTTGTGTTCTGCAGGAAGTGGGAAATGGGAAATGTCTGGAAGACTTAGTGAAACAAAGAGGTAAAAGCCCAAGACTTCATTAAGTGAAGTGCTACAGTCCCACTAGAGCCTTTTACTGCTAGTCCTGGTCTCCCGAGTCTTGCTCTTTGCATTACGAGATTGTCAGTGATGATGATGACTAAATAACAAAGCGCTCCCTTGCCAGCAGTAATAAGAAATATCATGCATCCTTTTCCAAGTTGTTATGATAAGAAAATGTTTGTTCCCATCAACTCTGATAGATCTTTATAAGTTGTCATGAAAATGTTTCACTGAACTGGACATAGCTTTCATTATAAACATACACTTAATATCTAAGTTGCTGAAACAAACTCTCCCCTTTTATTTGCAAGAAAGGTTTGGGGTTTCATTTCACTTCTACGATGGTCATTTAAAAAATTATCAAACAACAATTTATAGTGGACAGTCCCAAACTTTGTTGTCTCAGTTGTCACAAGTAGTGGAGCTGCAGCCTCTCCCAACTTGGCAGGGAACTGGTATGACAGTAAACCCCCAGAGGACCTCAGTCACATTGAGCATATCCCAGCTGCAGCCTCGAGCTCCTCTGCCCTACTAAACTGATTGTCTGTCTTCTAACAATGGAAAAAGTTGAGCCAGCTAAATTTGGGAACCTCTCCCTTCCCTTTAGCTTTCAGGTTTTTAGGCTGGTTTCAGAAGAATCTGAAAATGGTGATGAAATTAGAAATTCATGTGGGAAAATTTCCTGTTGAGAAAAAGAAAATTCTTGTTGAGGAAAACAGCTTCCCTGTAATCAAAATGTTTCTAGTGTAACATTTTGAAGTACTCACATACACCTAACTCCAAGGGAAACCATCTTTCACAGAATCTAGGCCAGTTTGGTGGCCACTGATGGACACAGAGATTTTGGATTTGGGCAAACATCAACAGTATGGACTCTTCATATCTGTGCAAAACCAGCCTGTAAGTGTTCACAAGAGCCTGTTTCTTCCCTTTTATTCTGATGATTTCTGTCAAATCAATTACCTGAATCACAGCCTATGTTAGGGATTGCTTTTTCATTTGCACATAGCTAAAAAATTTGTGGCCTTCCCTGCTTCTTGGGGGCTCTAGTAGACATAAGAACAGCAGCACTCCAATGTCTCCTCTATTCAGTCCATATTGCTCATGGTATAAAGAAAACAGAACTTAATATGTTTCCTCTGCCATGATAATGAATTATTAGGTTTTTAACTTCTGCCTGTGTTGCCTGCAAGGTGTTATAATTTCGAAGAGAGTAGCAATTTGAGGAGGAAAGACATGCCTCCTACCTCTTTTCTTTAGACTCTCCTCTCCCTCCGCACCACCCCTGCTAATGTATTCTGTGGGCTTTGGGGATGAGACAAATTACTCTGTGTTGGTGACAAGAGGAATATAAATGAGACTTAGCTGTGCAGGAAGGTCTCTCTGCATAGCCTGATGGTGAAAGCACTTCTTAGTGGGGAAGGAATGGAACTGTATGCTTGGCATCCTCCTTCCAGGGCTCCTTCGGTGGTTTCGTGCTGTCACTGTATATAAAATAAAGAGTGAGCCCTGCAGGCAAGAAACATGAGCAGCTCTCCCAGTTTTGTACAAGTGCCATAGGCAATAGACTGTACCCTCATGTTTCTGCTTGTGCTCTCTTTTTGACTCATGAAATACAAATTTTTATTTTTTTGCCTGTGACACAGCTTCAAAGAGAAGCTCTTTCCCTCGGTATCCTAATGGATAGGAAGTGGGAGGATAAGAATGAATAACTCAGTAGGAAGCAGGAGAGGAAATTGAACTTTATTTCTCTGTTTGTTGTGGGTGCCTTAACCACAGTAATCCATGGAAAGACTAATAATTTTTTTTTTATGTGTAACTCTGTCTATGGTGAATATAACATGTGCAGTCTTTGGGAATATATTTGTGGCCACTGAAGTATTTTGTGGGAGCCCAGACCTGATGGATGTACTCAGAACTTGGGAAAGATGCACATGAAGGCAAACTCTTTATCTGATCCAGTTTAGGCATGAGCTGAACACCAAGCCTTTTAGCATGAGTCTGGTGGCAAAGTGCAGTGGTTGTGTTAATTTATGTTCCAGTGTTATATTTTTCAGCCATTTAAGATGACGATCTGAAAATTCATCCCAAGGGTCAGTTTAAGGAGGGACAGATATCAAACAGCTTCATTCATATCTGTGCTGCAGGCTTTTGTCTTTCAGATAGCTCTAGATGTTTCAAAGCTACATAAAATGCATAATGGCATCCATGACCCAGCAGTGTGAATTTGCTCAATACCCACTCTGGGCAAGCTCTCTGCTCCTGACACCAGCACATTTTCGTGCCTGGGGAAGTAGCCAGGCAGTGACATTCTGGATGTTAGTGAACCATTAGAGTTTTCTGTCACATTAACCAGGGTTATTGTGACCAACGGTCTTCCCAAAGAGAGGAAACCCATGGCTAAGGGCCATTTTCAGTAGGTAAGGGTATAGTTTGCACACAGCTGCTCTGTTTCAGAGCCAAGGACACTTTAATGGAGACAATGCTAAGCCAGCTGCCTTCAGTGCTGGGAGTGTGATGGGATACACTCATTTTTTGGTGCAGGTGAAGACCAAAGTTGCAGGAGGGTTTCAGTGAATGTCAGGGCAGAGGTGGCACTAAGAAAATCCTTGTCTCATTTGACAGCTCCATCTTCTGCTTGCTTGCTAGTGTCAGGGCATCAGGAAGAAGAGACATTGTCTCTAAAAACTGGTGGTCTGTGAGTTTTTTAGCTGTTTTTCTGACTCAGAAGATTTCCACTTGTAATGGGAATGAAAAATTCTCTGGCTCTGGTCGTGGATGTCATAAATGCCTTCCTATGTGATAAAGGACTCTCAGTATGTTGTTGCTAGGCCATAAACTGTAAGTCCTGCCTGTGCCAAAGAGCTTTCAAAATTCCTTATTTACCATCCTGCACATGGGATTTGGGGCACCCCTGTATTGTACTGTGTGTTTTTTCATTTGTATGTGCTGGGTCAGATGTTTAGCTGATAAAAGTTAGCTATGTAAAGCTTCACTGATTGCAAAGGAGTTGCACCAAGTTGATGATTCAACTTTTATTAATTTCATTGTTTAGATTTATCATATTTATTAAGCTCAGCATAGAGAATATGGTTTTCATGTCTCCTGTAATGGAGGGGTTTTGTACAGAAAAAATGGATTCTGCTCTCAGTGACGCCTTGCCTCATTTTGCAGGTGAAGATTGAATCTGGCCATAATGTGTAAAATGAAATGGTTTATGTGAAATACCCACATATGATAATACTTTGGTTGGTATTCATAGAGCCATGCTTGCTCCATCTGTCTCAGTTATAAATATTGTAAGTGCATATTTCAGTAAATTTTAGGGTTTGTAACAATGTAGTAAAATCAAGTAGATGTTAATAAATTCTAGCAAGCACAGAAATTCAGTTGTTTCTCAGTAGGTTTCTATTTAGCCGCTCAAGATTATCTTGCTACAGCTGCAAAAAATACTGAACTAAGTTTAAACTCCAGCAAATATGCTGCTAAGAAAGTTGATTTTCTATGTTTACAACAGCGGATTGGATTGTCAAAAATGAGTAGCAAATGTGTTTGCAGAAGAATTTTATATCTGGCTTTTTGTTTTTCTTTTTTGTCTAATGTTCAGAAATGCAGAATTACCACATGCTGGTGCAAAGATGAAGGCTGATGCTTTTTAGTTTCCTCCTTTTCCACACGCAACTAAATCCAGACCCAAAATGCCATGAGGACAGTGGGAGGAGAACTATTAGGCTGCTACCATTCCTTTCTGATTTGTAGCTGTCCAAAAGTAACGTAGCAGCTTTTGAAGAGCACAGATGGCTCATTTGGCTGCTGGTTTTGAAGCAGTTTGCTCTGAGGTCTTCCAACATTTTCTGCTGCCTTTCATCCCCTGAGCCTACGTCTGTGGCTCAGGAGCTCCCAGCAGTCTTCCTTAATTCCTGCATTAAGGAACCCCTGGGATCGCAGTGGCCATGTCTGGGACATGTCTGGACCTGCTCTGCCCTTTTGGGCTTCTAGGAACAGATTGAGGAACTTGCAGTCGAGTCTAGCTGAGAGTAAATCTTAGTGAACAAAGACATGGGGAAGGGAGGGAGTGTGATGGTGTTTCAGAAGCAATAGCAAGGTTTGCATGGCTTTGCTTGCTCGCTGGTGAAGCCTGGTGCAAATAAGAAAATATCAAATGTTCTATTCAACCTATAATTAAAAAGTGGATGTTCTGTTTATGTGTTTTCTTACAGCTGGCAGCATTAGAGAGACAAATCTTTGACTTCCTGGGTTTCCAGTGGGCTCCTATCCTTGGCAATTTCCTACAAATAATAGTTGTCATTTTGGGTTTGTTTGGAACCATCCAGTTTAGGCCTCGATATATAGTTGTGGTAAGTCTCATTTATTATATTTCTTTTTGGTTTTCCCCATAAAACCTGTCATATTACAAAGCAAAATTTTCTTGGTTTCAAAACACCAGATGGTATTTCTGTAGAAACTGTACAGGTCTCCATGTCTTTTTGCAAATTTAGGACTACTCAGTGATTTTTTTTTTTGAGATTTTGGACATTACCAAAAACCGGTAACCTGGAGAAAGTGCTGCCAAAACTATGACACAAATCAACTATGACTGTAAATAAATAAATAAAGTACAAACTGTTCTTTTTGTAACAGACAAGCAGAATTGGTGGTGATTATAAAAAAAAATTTGCAATGGCCAAGTTGTATTTGACTACATATTTCTCTTAAGCAGAGAGGAGTAATGATTGTAGAAATTTCTTTGGTCCTGTGACCCATGGGTTCCAAAGAAGTCTCCTTCTCACTTACGTGTAATTTTGTCAAGACCTGTATTTATGGCTTTGACCCTGAATTATTGTAAATTCTCTCTGATGCTTGTAAATTGAAGCTTCTCAGTTGCTTTTTTTTCCCCATGCTCTCAATATAGCCAGGAATAAAAAGAAATTTCAAAGCTGTGAAGTAAACTGCCAACAGAAAAAAAAAAATCTCTATTCCTCCCTCATGTTCATTTTTGAATGTAAGAATATGATACCCTTACCTGGTAGTGGCTGTATTTGGAATATTTTGGTTGTGTTGTCAGTAATGGATTTTAAGAGGCTAAAGTTATCTTTTTCCTCACAAAGGAATGAAATAAATGTCTGCTGGGGGAAACTCATTAAACAAATACTTAAAAAGCTTCATCTCTTCTAGTCAAGCCTGGAATCCTGTAACTCTTTGTCATGTCTTAAAAGAAAAAGTGAACAAAAGTGCATCCAAGATTATACTCATGTTAGCTAAGTTTACAAGCAGACTATAATCAATTGAAAATGGATTGATATAAAAAATAGTTTTTTTATCTATTATCTGTGGTTGAAGAACTGGGTGTCCATGAATTGATGACTCACCTTTCTGCTTCATGCTCTCCATTTTATACATAAGAAGTGAATGTAAGCATCTGTAAAATTATGTGGGAAATTCATGTCTGAAGTGCAACACTACAAAATTTCTTGCCCCTCAGGTTCATCACTGCTGTTCAATGATGCAAGCTCTGTTTAAATTTTCAATGAAATACAACAGATGTTGACTGTTTCTATATCTTTTCCAATGTAATTGAACATTTTGAGCTATACAAAAGTTGTTTTAAAGTAGAGGTAGAAAACTCATAATTAAAGAAACACTTCCCCAGCAAGGTACTTTATGCTGCTTTAACTGAACTCATATTCTGATTGATCTTTAAGCATATATTTAGGAGCTCTAGCTACAGCAGGTGCCAATACTCATTACTGAGGAAGATCAAGGCTTTAGAGCCCAGCTGGTCAGAGTACAGTGCTAATAATGCCATAGGTCACACGTTTAATCCCTGTATGGGCCATTCTGTTAAGAGCTCGCCTTGATGATTCCTGTGGGTCCCTTCCAGCTCAGAATGTTCTGTGATTACCCACTTCTTCATCCCATCACCACCTCTCTGAGCAATCTGTGATTATATCCTTACTAACATCGGGTTTACAGTGAAGTAGGAGTAGTTTGAGCCAAATCCTGAAGTCTGAAGGGAGTCTGTAACACGAGGTGCCTGTAACTGACCTTACACTCAACACCAGCAGAATAGGGTGGCTGTCATGTCTTCCTGCTCCCACTGTTCCCTGACTGAACACTTCCCCAGATCCTCTCCCCCACTTCTGGCAGCAGTTAACTGGATCTGTCAGTAAGTCAGTTCCATTTCTAAGCTGTCAGAAAACCAACCTAGAAAAAAGTGAAGATTTTTTTGCTAAACTGGCGACCTGAATCCAGTCTATGATGTTGCAATGGTTGTCAAGGTTGGCATAAGGCAGAAACTGGGACTGTATGTTTATGAACAGCAATGTGGAGGTGGAGGGGAAAGGAGGAGTTGCAAGACTTCTCCTGTTGCTAGCTCCAAACTTGTCAGTTCAGCCTCATGCCTAGCCTTGCCCTCAGGTTGAATTCAGTGAATATCTCAAGCCAGCATAAGCAAAACTCCCTTTGCTCAGCTGCTGCCTTCAGTCCCTGTGCTGTTCCTCTGTTTGCACCAGCACAGGTACCAGTTCAGTCACTTGGGGAACTGTCAAACCAGAACAGATCCCAGTTAAAAGTGACTATTCTCATTACTGGTGTTAATTTAAGTGTAGGTGAGCTCTTTGATGTGCTTTGCTTGTTACAGGAGATGGGAGAGGGGAAATGGGAAGAATTAGCCAGAGGAAGGAGAAAAGTGCATGGAGTCTTTCCACAGCAGTGCAGGGTTACACCAGCTTAAGTTCTTGTTGAGCACAGCCTGAGGATCTTCCAGTCTATTTCAACACATGCTCCCCAGAAGCTGGGCTTCCTAGGGCTGTGCCAACCACAGTTTAGCTTTGCCCACTGTCCCCAGAAACCCCAAAAGGAGTCAGCGACACTGACAGTAAAGACCCTTACCAGTGCCAGCTGCACACTGGCTGTATTCACTCAGGCAAAAGTGACAGTCCGCCTCTAAACTTTTACTGCTGTCTTTAAAGTCTGTTTAATGCAAACCTTCAGTAGTGTCCTGAATTTCAGTATTAAACACAATGCAGAGAGATTCTTTGCAAGGCTCTGAGTAGTGAATTAGGCTTCAAATTTATGGAGAAGCTTCATGGTCTTCCATGTTCATAGGTCCACTTTCAGCCACATCCAAACCCCTGGATTTTTTAGTGGTTAGCATCCCAAGAATTTGGTACTGTGTCTGTGGCGGAAGAAGTATTTTGAGTCATGCTTTTATGTACTTTTAGGTACTTTTCTGATTTAGATTAAGTTTAATCCAGTTTAACTGGAAAACTAACTAATTTTTTCAAGAAAATCATCCTTAGTATCAATTGTCTTTTCCAGAAGACTTCCCAGGAAATCAGCTTCATTAATGCAGATGATCCCATCACAGTATTAAAAAACTGAAGTAAAGAGAGAATCATGTCAGATACAATGGTTTACTTCTGTAAATTGTGTCTACAAAATTAATCTGGCATGTGTGCACACAAATTGTCCTCATGATAATATGTCATAGTCGGATGGTAATCTTGACTTCAGCTGACCAGCTCTAGAGCCATTGTTTAACATCAAGAGAATGTTTTTAATCTGTCTTCTGTGCAATGAAGTCTGTGCCTGAAGGTTTCCCTGATAAGTGAAGTTACACAAAAGCTTTCATTTTGTCATCTTATGCTGTGTATGTCATGTTCAGTCTACTCAAATTCTGAAAAATGTAAGGAATGGGAAAGTAAGTGAATAAATGTAATACATGTAGGGCTGTAGTTTGAAGCACATCTATACTGCAGTCAAATAGGAAAGTGCTTCTGCAGGCACAATTGGGCAGGCTTTTGTTGCAGGTACATAGAGCCAAGAAGTTCAGTGAGGGCTGCAACAGAAACTGATAAAAAAATAGCAGTTGCATGCTTTTGACCCTTCCACTGCCATTGACCCCAGTATGGCCAGTTTATCACTAGGATTTAGTGACCACATAAGCTGCACCATAGGCATAGTCATTGCAGATTAAAAGTCTGAATAAATAAGTTTGTTTGAGTGATAGAGAATTTGTTGTGAGAGCTTTCTACCAAAAAAAAGTCTCACTATCTAAGAGCTGCCATGCAGTGGCTGATACATGTTGAATAGAATTCTTATTCTGAGTAGTTAAAGATAGAGGTTCATGTTCACTGTATACAGTTCCTCGGATACAGGACTATATGGGTGGTGATTCTGAAATAAATCTGGAATTTCACTTGCTCATACTTAAAATACCAAGTCCTCAGAGCTTAGGACACAGAGAGAGGGAGTGACAACATTGACTCCAAGTGTCCTAATTAGCTTAAATCCAATAATTATTTCTAATAGGTTTTGTATTAGTTAGTAATTTAGATAAATGTTGTGAACAATTTGTCCTGTCACTAAGCAGATGTGCTATTTTCTGTATTTGAATATTTTGTGACTGAATTAAATCTGTGCAAAGTTCCCAAGGGGCATAAAAGTGCAGACCTGATTCCTAATTTTCCCACATTAGCTCATTTGAGACTTACCCAAACATTTGCAAAGAAGAAAGAAACAGCTGATTTTCAGTTCTCTACTATGCTGTTACACTCTTGTCATGAAGTTCCTGAGCTCTGCTGTGATCTGTTTCCTTGTTCGTTCTTTTCCTTTCTTAACAGATCTTGCTATCACCAGCAAGATTTTCAGGTTGTTAAAATTGATTAATGATGATGACAGGATACTTGTTAAAACTGGGGATCTTCTCCCTCTGCTGCTTCTGATATGGGACTTCAAAAGGCTTCTGAATGATGAGTCATATAGCTAAAATTACAAAAGCCAGGCTCAAAGCTGAAAAAAAAAAGTGTTAATAAATAGTGAAGGGTGAAAATAATACATTTAAATAGAGAGAATCTATGGTGGATATCTCTGTTTTACTTGCCTTAATGTATTCCATTAAGTAATGTGATATATATTCAATGGATGTAGTAGAAAAGAGTTTCTTAAAATAAACTCCAAACAAATTAAAAAAACAGAACAGCAGAAGAAAGGCTGTTCAGGATGCTTTATTCCATAATGAAGCAAATGTTATACAGACAGTGAAAGCACATGTGAAATATTTAGGCTTCCAACATTACTTGTTGATTATCCTTCCTGGTAAGTCCTGTGTTGTTACTGCTCCATTGTGCTGATTTATGTCATGTCACTTCCCTTACCATCTTTCATATATATGACTAAAAAGGCTCTGCAAGTACTGATGCCAGGTATTACAGGGGAATGATTTGACGACTCAGTAGTTGCTCCTTTCCCTTGAAGTATCCTTGAGTCAACATTCATTCCCTCTAATGCCATGAATGACACTGTCACAGTAGTTGCTGCACTTCAGATTTAAATATACTCTTGAGATAGTTTATGCATTAAAGCTAAACTTATCCCACAATCCTTGTAATATCCAAACTTAGAAAATTCTCTTTTTTCTTTTCCTTAACCAGTTGTTCTTGTGACATTGTGTCCATCCAATGCAATTGTTTTAACCTAGAAATGTTTGTATTTCACTGATGTATGAAATGTATCTCTGCATTGGTTTCAATTAGATTCTGGAGTCAAGAGGCTGTAGAGTCAAATCTCACTGTTGTGGAGAGGCTGACATTATGAAAGGGGATATTTATTAGATGTTTAACCTGTAAGGTTTAGTGAGTACTCCCTCGACTTCATTGGTAAGACTTCAAATACTTCCTCATACCTCATAGTATACAATCATTAGTGTAAAAGACCAAGAGAAAGAAAAAAATGTAGTGCATCATGGGGAGAAATAAGCAAGGATTATGGCCTGGTCCTAGGTCCTTCCTCTAGAAGGGAACTGTTACAAAAATGTCCAGGTGATTCTTAAGTTGTGCATCATTTGGGATATAAAATAAAAATACCAACTCTTCTTTTTGATTCAGCCTGTGTGGGAAATTCCTTCTTCTTGACAGATGTGGTGAGGGTTGTGACACTGACTATGAGGCCAGCTGAGCTGGGGTGCTGGGAATGTGGGTGGCCAAAGGACTAGGCAGGAATTGCTGGGTGTGGGGAAGTGAGAGTGAGCAGTCCCAGCAGGATGGACAGGATAATGTTCAGGACACAGAGTGAGAAAGGTTAAATGGCAGGTCAGATCATGAAACAGGTTAGGTGCCTGGGAGTGAAGTGAAACCTGAGGGTCAGTGTGGACCTGATGGTCTCAGACCTTAACCATTCCCACACGGAGAGAAAATTGCCAGCATGCATGACATGTCCCTTCACACACAGGATGGCAATTTGGACCGTTGCTCTGCTAGCAAAACTAAGAAATCTGCATCATGCATCTAAAAGTAACACTTTTCTTAAGGTGTAACTTGACTGAAGCATGTGTTAGTGTGATGCCACATAATAGAATATTGCTTGGTTTTGTTTTTTTAAACTAAAAGCTATATACATATACATTTACTCAATGCATATAATGTCAGAAAGTATTACAATTGTTTAATAAATAAATACTCAAAATGTTAGAAAAGTTGCTTTTAAAGCCCTTCTGTGCAGTCTTATTATGATTCTTTTATATATTTGCAGATTTGAACCAGATAGACACCTACTAAATCTTATATTTTTGCCTCAATTTCAGTAGAAAAGATAGACATTTGGGGGTTTTCTCGTGATCACAGATGTAGAATAGAAACCTGATTTTCTGAAAACAGAAGACAATGGGAAGAGTAAGGCACATGCTACCAAGAAAAAAAGGATTGCTTTTGCTGTGAAGGCTGTGCTCAGCAGCAGAGTTTTATCTCTGCTCTCAACCACTGAAACCTATTTTGACACCAAGTGAGTGACTTTAACAAAACCTGTCACATGCTTTTCTTTCCCCTTGCATTCTGGATTCTTGTCTTGAGACCTTGTGGTCTGATTTGCACAAGTGGTGCATGTTCAGCCACAGGGAGCTGAACACTGAGTTTATAAACTAAGTATATAACCCCAAGCATTCTGAAAAATGAACTCTTAAGGACCTCAAGTTGGATGCTTACAATAATATTCTGAATGTAATCTCTGCATGTATCAGAACATCATTTGCATTCTGAGAGCTGTATCATTCCCTTATAACATAAAATAAATTAGTTAATGTTTGTGTAGCTCTCACACATTACAGCGATGAGCATCTTAGTGAACCTCATGAGGAAATTAATATTCTGTCCTCAGAACAGGGTCTGAGCCACAAGGAGAAAAGGAGTATTGAGATAGCTGTTCATGAAATGTTTTGGGGGAGGTAAGATCTTTCAAAATAGAAATATATCTATGATGATTTTACTAATGTTTGGATTGTATTGCCACAATACAGCCACAAAATAGAAAAATTAAGTTGGCTTGCACAACCCAAATTCTAACATTTCTTAATTTTGTTTTCTTGCCTTTTCTGTCTTATAACCTTTCCTTAAGTACCTAGAAAACTATGCAAGGAAGGAATTTGCTCCTTGAATATCCAATAAGAGCAATAACTTTCCTACTTAAAAAAAAATTATGTAGTACTAATTACTAAATGTAATGTAATTGTTATGTTTACAGAGCAAAAGGAGCTCAAATTTAGGTCTCTGCAGATCAGTGAGAGTGTAGGAAGAGCCTCTACACAGCACTGGGTTTCAAGGTGCACACGTACTTTGCACCTGCACTTCTCTTTCAGTAATCCTCATGGTGGAGCAGGAACCAAACTGGTGATAACTGTGTAAAACAGCATAGCCTGGCCTGGGAAAGCAGACTCTGACAGTTTTTGCCTGCACAATGCACCATCGATGCCCATGGGACAGAATGAGGCCATTAACAGATTTGGTTTGGCCTGGAAGATCAAACAGAATTCCTTTTGTTGTGATGACAGATTTAGTTCACAGAGAAATAAAAAATTGTTTCTTAAAAAGAAGAATACTCCCAAATAGTCTAAATTCTGCTTTTTACATGCAACTGGGATTGTATGAGTTGTTCATTAATTTTGAACTCTCTGCATGTAATGTTCTGAATATAAATTTAGAAAATCAGTAGTCGATGATGGCATCAAGTTACTACAAAGTCAATAAATGTAATAAAATATGATATACTCTAGGTTCGTCATATGGACAGTACAGACCTTATATTGCTCACACACCACAACAGGCTTGTCTATTTTATAATATCGCAGCCTTCAGCTGCCACACTGCCCTTCTCTATGAGACAGAGGAAAGGGCCCAGGAGTGTTATTCTTGTTTTGGTTCTTAGTGTTCTCCTTCTTGGGCCATTGCCCAACTGCCTACATACCTCAGAAGAAATTATATTAAAGCAGTTGACCTTTTTGATGTACAGAAATGGCCCTATGCAGGGGGGAGTAATCAAGGAGGGGAAAAAGTTCAATCCTCTTTACCTGAAACTTTAATTGTACATGACAGGAAGAGGAACAAAACCCAAAACTGCCCAAGAAAGCCAAACTGATGGCACCTGTGCAATACATTGTAGTTCAGTGTGTGGAGCTTTAATGACTGAAGAAAACAATAGGTGCTAATCCTTATCTGGCCACAGCTAATTAGACTTGCAAAGCTCTTAGCAGCAGTTCTCCACTGTGAAGGCTCCACGTGTGTAAATTTGAAGTGGCAGTTCTGCTGCTCACTGCATTTGTTCCAGTGGATGCAGCTCCAGCATGGCTGCATGGACACTTGGCCCATCAGGATGAGATGCTCCTGAGGTGGAATACCTGGGGAGTTCCTTGGGAACAGGGTACAGCTGTGTGTCAGTAAACAGGGTATCCATAAAGAAATGGTGCCAGTCTGTTTTGCTGACAGGTAAAATGCAAAAGTTGGAGTAGATGAATTAATGTCCCATTCATGCTGTGGGTGCTGTATGAGTTCAGTATGATGCTTGAGAACCCAGGACCAGATTCATGGCAAAAGGCTTGGAGAAGTAGTCAGCTAATTTTAATGTAATAAAGTACATTTTACTGTGAAAGGCTCTCAAAAGATCAGATTTACACTTTAACTATTTGCCTAAAAAGAAAAAAAATCTATATTACCAGGTCAAGAGATCTTCTGGGTCTTTTGGGGCATGGGGTTTTTTCTTGTACCTTTCTTCATAATATTTAAATGTTATTTTAATAATATTTACTTATTTAAGGTTTTATTTGCTTATCTGAAATTTCCTTTAGGAGAGCTAATTTGTGATTTAAAAATTACTCAGATTTGTCCCAAAACCAGTCAGCATTTTGGACTTAATTGATATCAGTAGGACAGTGTAAAACTGCAAAGAATAAATCTGTTTTATTGGTATTTGTTTATTACATCAATGAATATTGAATTTGTAATTTCCGGTGGTTCTTAGGGGACTTCTGCAGAGGGAGCTTCTTTTCTGAACTCTGCTGTTGGCTGATCCCAGAAGAACAATGCTTATTGATATCAGTTTGTTTATTATTGATCTGCTCAGTATGAAGTCATTTCATCTTAACGTTTTATTTTTCTCTCTTTTTTGCTGTCATCTGGCTTTGTGTTTAGTACACGGTGTGGACTGCCCTGTGGGTCACCTGGAATGTTTTCATTATCTGCTTCTATTTGGAAGTAGGCGGGCTTTCTAAGGTAGGTCACTTACCTTTCTTCAGATTTATGGGAGGGTGTCTCAACAGCAGGACTCTCAGATTTCAGAAGACTGCAAACACAGAGGGAAAATGTGGTTGTCTGAACATACAATTTGATCTTCAGTTTGCCTCCAACAAGAACTGTAATGTTTGAACTTCTCCCTGCTAGTAAATAGCCACAGGTTTGAAGTACATGAATGCAATGAATCTGAATTACAGTTGCCTTCTGAAGTGCCATCCCAAGGTGAGAGGTGGGAAGGTATTCAGTTGTAAATGTGAGGTCCTTTTAGATTGTTGAAAAACAGGCAGTGTCATTTTGGTTGAATTTTCAAGTGTGTATAAAAAATGTGAATTTCCAAGACGGCTTTGAAAGAAAATGACTAAGAAGGTTAATGTGATAACTTGCTGAACAAATGATCTCGCAGTGAGAATGCTAATTCTTTATAAAAAAGAACAAGTGTCAAAGGGTGACTTTTGTCACATCTGAATAAAACTTTCCTTTATATGACACTCAGTGTTTTAGGTCACCAATTCTTTATTCAATCCTCTGATTAGAGCAGATATGTTTGCTGGAATTGCACATCAAGAGATGCGTGCTCATTCAAGGTAGCACTTATGTTAGCATAGATTATGCTCAGCATTGTATCTGCAGGGAATTTCACACAACACCTGCTGATTTTTATCCTCCAGTTGGACACAGATGATACAGATCTTGGTTAACCACATTTACCACATTTAAATTATTCCAGACACAGTATGCCCATGGCACATGCTGATCCCAGCATTATTAATATATAAATGTCACTGTTACTGGTTGCAGATTTAGTGATTTGAACTGCATCACTGTTTATTCATGCAATGCTTTTAGAGAATGCAATCCTGTGCAATGTGCTCTGGGAAGACCCTGCTTGAGCAAGGAGGTTGGACCAGATGACCCACTGTGGTCCCTTCCAACCTGACCCATCCTGTGAATTTTTGTTTACTCCACTCAGTTCAGAGTGGAACATTTATGAACTATGTACTTGCTAGGATTAAGCTAGGATTCCTAGCTTTTGGTTGATAGCAAACAGAAAACTTGTGAAACCAATTTAATAAGAAATAAGATTTAATTTACTCAGTAGAAATTCCATTTAAATTTAAACTTTCAATGATAGGTTCCTTTGGTGATAAAATTTCATAATGAAAAGCTGCAACAGTTTATTTTTCCTTCAATTATGTAGCTCATGAGAAGTTACAGCCTTGATAAAGAAATTAGTATACTTCATAGAGGACCAAAATTAATGATCCTCATGGTATGTTCTGACTTAAAAATCTATTAGATGAAGAGAGGAGCAACACATAGAAATGAAGAATAGCCAAATAATTGTTCATTCTTATGATACAAAGAGGTTGTATACTTTTATTTAGTTGGGTCATGTCTGTTTTTTTAGTGACTATTATATTTTATGTGTAAGTAATATATTTATCTAAGGGCCTAGGAAGTGAAGCAAAGCTTTTAGTATGACCCTTGAATTTGTTTGCAAGGGATTCTGCTCATATGCTCAGTTAAGAGGTTTATAAATCAGCAGGTTTGAATTTAAATCCTTCATCTTCCAGTTTCACTTCTGTGTTTCACTTTTTGCTCTTACTTAACATGACAAATCACAATGCAGAGAAATAGTAGCAAAAATACTACCTGGCAGTTGACAAAATTCCCTTTTATTAGGGTACGCTTCAGTTAATATCAACATTTTTGTGGAACTTTTGTCTTGTTTACTCCAAGATAATGACATTTAAAAAGTGTTTCTCAACAAGGTGATAGACACAAATTTACTACTGTGGAAGTTAACTGCTCTTGTATAAATTATGCCAAAGGTATGAGTATTGATAACAACTTAGCAATGATAGAATTAGGAAACTTTTTCAGTACATCACCATATTTTGGGTCTATTTGTTTGTCTTTCTGAAAATTTTGCTAGATATGATGAAGCCATTAAGAGACTAAGGTTTTTTTACCCCATATGCATAAAATATTAGGTATTTATTATTTGGTTATTATGTCACAGCAAATTTAATTGGGACCCATATTTTATCCAAGATGCTAGTTGAAAAAATTCATCATTTCCTCCATGAATATGTTCTGTGTTGTCAGACATGATAGAAAAGTGCTGTTATCAGAGTACATTAGTGTGGCTGGAAAACCAAACACCATAATAAGATTTCCAAGCATGGTTGTTTATTTAGCATTGAAATCTTGGCAGGCAATATTCACTTTTTTTTTTTGCTTCCTATTGTTCTCTCTTTCCTTTCAAGAAAGAAAAAGAAACTGTATCTCTGAAATGAATACAGATTGATTACAATTTTAAACTTCTGTTGACATTCTATCAGGGAAAATTGTAATGCTGTCTGGCAGGTGACTGATTTCTGTTGGCTTGTTTGTTTTTAAGTAGCTCCATGTTTGCATTTGCTCTGACCAGAATGAGTTAGCTCTTGGTTGATGTCCCATGAGTTTATTAAGTCTTCAATCATGAACGCTTCTGAAAATCTAACTTTGTACAATAATAACTGGTAATTTTAATTCAATATCTGCCCATGGACCATGCATACAATGCAGACAGACTTTTCAAATGTCATAGTGGAAACCTGCCACTGCTAAAATTTTGCTCAGATGTTATTTCTGAAGTGGGGAGGAGGATCTCCTTTGAATATTCACTGTTTGAATTCTGCCAGGAAATTCCACTGCAAGTAATGAAAAATTTGAATGAGAATAAAAAGGACATAGGTAATGTAGGCCTGTTTACTGCAAGTTTGAAACATTTTCCCTTCAATTACCTTCAATTATAATTTTCTTGATAAACTAAGCACCCTCTAATAGCTACACTATGGTGATTAGGGCAGTCTCCTGGGAAAAGGATGATATAGATTCAAGTCATCTTGGGTGCAAAAGGGAAATAAACACAGCTCTCTCACAGCTGCTGTTGTCAGTAGAAATCAAATGAGCAACTGTTTCCTCTTTAACTGGCTTATAAACAACATAGAGGTCAAGATCCTTCTTCACTTATGTTACAGATGCACAAATAAATTATAATGCTTTTTTCAGGGCTAAAAAATTTTTATTTGATTAGAAATAAAATAAATATACCTATATACACCTTTTTTATTTGTATTAATTTTTTTTTCTGTTTTTAGCAGCAGTGAAACTACCCATATGAAATAAATGAATTTTGCATGTCTTTTTTCATTTACTACTTTTCTGAAATTGGAAACATAATTTTTAGTGTTAACCATTCCATATGAGATAAACAAAGCTGTTATTATAACATGACCTTTTAATTCTTCACTGCAGGATGACAGCTTGCTACTTCCATACATAAGCTCATTAATTGTTTTGATCTCATTCTGTCTTGAAATAAAATTAAGTTCTAATTGTCACATTCCAGAGTATAGGCATTAAAGCATGTAGACAAAAACACAAACTGTTTTCCTGAAGTTTTGTATGTGCTCAAATGGACCCCATAATTTCTAATGTGTGTAAGCCAGCCCTCCGTCTGAAGCAATACGTGATGTTATGTACTCCTGTACAAAGGAGTCTTCATCTGTTTAGAATTCACAGTTAATAATTCTGTTGTTACATCCCTCAGGTATTTCAGATCCAATATGAAAATAGCTGTATTCATTTGTATTTATTATTTGCTATTCCAAATTTGTTTTTTGATAGACCATTTTTCTACTGCTTTTGTATTTGAGTTGCTGGCATTTCTTTCCATGTGTTAAAACCTTTATTTGGTAAATGCATAGCAGCACTGTGATATTGTGTACACCTTTCCTATTGTTTCATATGCCTTACCTAAACAGCTGGGGAACATTGATGAGCTCTTTTCTTTTTCTAGGATATTTCTGCTTGTCCTGCATGGCTTTTCCACGACATGCTTCTTTGCTGTGGACTGTTCCTCATTCTGGATTTAAGTTTTGCTCTCAAATTGAGCTCTGTCTCAACTGACACTTCTAATTTTTTGGCCAAGGATTTGCCTGACACACACTCATATATTCAGTAGGAAGCTACTTCTAAACAGCTTATGTTTGTTATCTTGTCCTTAGGTTTACATATTGAGTGAATGTGAGCTCTCTGAGTGCCAGTGGCACCAGCTTCATTAGCCTTTCTCCTGGAGCCGAAGGAAGTTTTGCTTATGTCATTTAGCAAAACAATATTTTTTCATGTGTTTTTTCCTAGTAATATTTACTTTGGTCAATGGATGATCAGAGTTTGTAGGGCTCCCATCCAGCTTTATTAAGCTGGAGACAGAACTGTAGGCCAAATTATTACATGGATCTGTAGTTGGAGGATAGAATTATCTGACAAAAGTAATGATTTCTTCCATCTGAGTAAAAAATGGACTGATCATTTACTTATTAAAATGCTGAGAGACTGGAAACCTAGTGCTTTTTTCCAAACAAAATGTTGTATGTCAGAATGAGAGTTAATTATGTGAACTTTATACTGGCTACTTGTGAAATCAAATTTATTCCATCTGGTGCATGTCAGTCAATCCTTAATTGTTCTGCAATTACATCTAATCATCTCAAATGGAGTAAGTTAAGCTCAGAACCAATGCTAATTTGTATTAATAGAGATGTTATGGTGTATGCTAGGGCTTGTGTCTTTTTCTTTAATGTAAAATGAGTGCATTGGTTGAATTTACATTAGCAATATGAAAGAAAAAGTGATTCTCTTTCTAACTTGCGCTGATGTAAGTGATAAAACAGACACCATTATTTTGGTTTAATTATCATCGTAACTAGCTCCATAGAATTACCCACTCCAAAAAGCTCAGGGACAAAGTTGGCAGCATCCATAAAACCAATATGGAAAATCAATAGATGGAGGATAAAAGACTTCCTTAGTCTAAACAGAGGATAGGTCATTGTGCATCTACTCACATGTAAGTGACTTTTATGTGGAGGAAGGGTTTTTTTCATATCCACTGGGAAGAAGAGCAAGAAATAATCTGCTGAGCATGTGGC